CCAGCCATGCTGGCTGGGGAATTCTGGGAGTTGAAGTCCACACATCTTTGAGTTGCCAACGTTGAGAAACACTACTATGGGTTTTTTTCCCCTGATTTTCCCCCATTACAGAAATGACATCAGGCAGAAGTCTGTAAGGGAAAGGACCTTTTTGATCAGGGCCCCTAAATTATGGAATATTCCTATCTTCAGAAAGGCTACGTAGTAATTTATGGATGTGCCAAAATGGGCTTGTTGTTCCATTTCCAATTTTCTAGTCAAGGCCTCTCCGTTTAAAACCAGTGCCTTTTAACGGCGGCGTCTTAATCCATTATATATATTCCACTATTAAAACAAGGAAGAAACTTTTTAAAAGGGTGAATGAATGGGACAAGCTGCGGTCCGTGCCGTTTTAAGCTCTCTTCTGGAAGATATAGTGTAGGTAGTAAAACGGGCAAACAGAACAAATAAAACCATTTCAGCTGCTTATGAAAGAGACTAATCCAACTGCCATTTCTGAAGCTCGAAATCGGTTGGTTTCTGGAAATAAATGAAGGGAGCTTTATCAGGAAGAGCAATTGCCAGATGCCAAAGTCTTTTAAAACAAGGAGAAAGCCACCCCCTTGAGATGCATACTAAATTAGGAAATTTAGAAGACGGGGTTTAGCCCTGAAAGAGCCCCATAATTCACTCTCTAGCGAATCTAATCCCTTAAAAAAAAAAAGTTTAAACAAATCTTTCTCCCCTTTTGGCAGACAGTCTGGGCAAAGGTTAGATGGCGAATGCCCCTTGGTGGGCTCGGTTCGATAGCCGGTCCCCTTCCTGAGAAAGGTTGGGGAAGGGGCCTCTGCTCCAGGAAAGGATCGGAGGCAGGCGGCTTCCTCCGCTTATATCACAGCTGGCCGGCTGGAGCAGAGTCCAGGGCCCGAACCTTTGCCCGTCACGTGGAAGAGAAGGTTTAGCAACCATGTCTGGATGGAGTTGCCAAGGCAAGGCTGGTGTTTGCTCCCCTCTTCTGCATGGAAGTTTGGATGGATAGACAGACAGACAGACAGATACTGACCAGTAGTATATATCCAGAGTATTACACAGGAATCT